AGTGAAAGTCACTGTGAGTTCAATTAAAGTCAATGTGATTATTTAAGACCCCAGTGAAAGTTGCTGTGACTCCCTAGGACCTCAGTGAAAGTCACTGTGAGCTCAATGAATGTCAATGTGATTACTTAAGACCCCAGTGAAAGTTGCTGTGACTCCCTAGGCCCCCAACAAAAGTCACTGTGAGTTCAATGAAAGTCAATGTGATTACTTAAGACCCCAGTGAAAGTTGCTGTGACTCCCTAGGACCCCAGCGAAAGTCACTGTGAGTTCAATGAAAGTCAATGTGATTACTTAAGACCCCAGTGAAAGTTGCTGTGACTCCCTAGGACCCCAGTGAAAGTCACTGTGAGTTCAATGAAAGTCAATGTGATTACTTAAGACCCCAGTGAAAGTTGCTGTGACTCCCTAGGACCCCAGCGAAAGTCACTGTAAGCTCAATGAAAGTCAATGTGATTACTTAAGACCCCAGTGAAAGTTGCTGTCACTCCCTAGGATCCCAGTGAACGTCACTGTGAGTTCAATGAAAGTCAATGTGATTACTTAAGACCCCAGTGAAAGTTGCTGCGACTCCCTAGGACCCCAACGAAAGTCACTGTGAGCTCAATGAAAGTCAACGTGATTACATAAGACCCAGTGAAAAGTTGCTGCGACTCCCTAGGACCCCAACGAAAGTCACTGTGAGCTCAATGAAAGTCAACGTGATTACATAAGACCCAGTGAAAGTTGCTGTGACTCCCTAGGACTCCAGTAAAAGTCGCTGTGAGTTCAATGAAAGTCAATGTGATTACTTAAGACCCCAGTGAAAGTTGCTGTGACTCCCTAGGACTCCAGTAAAAGTCGCTGTGAGTTCAATGAAAGTCAATGTGATTACTTAAGACCCCAGTGAAAGTTGCTGTGACTCCCTAGAACCCCAGCGAAAGTCACTGTGAGTTCAATGAAAGTCAATGTGATTACTTAAGACCCCGGTGAAAGTTGCTGTGACTTCCTAGGACCCCAGCGAAAGTCACTGTGAGCTCAATGAATGTCAATGTGATTACTTAAGACCCGAGTGAAAGTTGCTGTGACTCCCTAGGACCCCAGCGAAAGTCACTGTGACTTTCAGTACAAAAATAAAATTTTATTTCCTGAACTGAATTGGTTTCTCACAAAATGAAAGCGATTTATCGAATTAGCCATGAATATGAGCAAAGTAGAGATTGTTCAGTAAAAAGCACTGGCCTTCTTGTATCACGTAAACTGGAGGAGACTGAATTATTTTTTGAGTATATGAATTATTGTTAACAAGAAGAAATATAAAAGTAGATAGATAGCATCTGAATGTGGCCATTTCCTGTTGGGGGTTGAATTGAATTGAGAAGTCCAACTAATACAATGATTATCAAAATGTTGTTTCTTACCTCCAATGCATCACCTAGTTCTAGATTATACAGTATAAATGAGATGAGATTGCCAGGTGTCAAGCGATCGGTAAGCACAAGATGTCCACCATAAAATAGTAGAATTACATCAATTGTTAGCTCCATAAACTGAAGAAAATCAAATAACCTTATTAATGCATGTGCACTTTCAGGTGATACACCTCTTTTGAATCTAAGAGACACATTTTTAGGCAACGGTAGCTACACAGATTGATCTTTTCAAACCATCAAAAATTACGATAAATGTAAAATACTCTATAGAAGAGTATTTATAGAAGCCCAAAATTTATTGGCTGTCGAACCTATCACACATACAAGGTGTTCTCTTATTGGCTGGAATTATGCATAAGACTTGAATTGTTCAGAGTATTTATAGAACAAAGAAATTGATTGGTTGTCAAACCCATCAAACATACAAGGTGTTCTTTGAATGGCTAGATGGTTTTCAGTTGACAGACAGACACATGCATCTTTGCCATTATCCCCATTTCACGAGAGCCAAACATTTTGCAAGACAGTTTGTGGCATTTGAAAAGTTAAACATGTTTATGCAATAATTAGTGTAGTACTATATTTGCTCCATTAGTAGTGTATGTGCTTACACAAATGACAGAAGGGTCTGAAGTGACAGAAGAATGATCCAGTATACAATGAATACAATTTTTGGTTTGAGTGTATACTTCTATTGGATGAACGGAATAAAAAATAAATATAAGGTATTGTGATTAAATATTAAAGTACCTTTTTTTCTAAAAGAGATATTTTTGGTTTTGCTCAAAATTCTACTGCATCTAAATATAATCTTGACATTTTTCTGAAATTTATTCTACTCACCCTATTTGTAACAACAAAACCACCATATGCGAATGCTTCTTTTAACTTTACAAGGTACGTATCATGTAGTTTATCGGCATACTTTGCAGTTTCTTTGATTTCATGGGCAAAGCTTCGTACAGTTTTCATGGAAGACAGTGTCTCTTCGGCCACATTATTGGCCAATGCTAGAGTGTCTTGAACCATCCGAGATAATTTCTAAAATGAGAGGTTGCAGGAAATATGATGAAAACACAGAGAATTGACTCTAAGCATGTGTGAGAAAAAACAAACATACTTCGCATTCAGGTATTTGATATACAATGGTTACTAAATGTACTGTGGAATACTTTATTTTCGCTGGATTTAATTTTCGCTGAAAAGGCTTTTTAGGCATTTTGCTTGGAATTTATTTTCACTGATTTTTGATGAGTTTAATGTGAAATATAGGAAAAAAAATATATTCGCTGGATTTTATTTTCACGGAATTATCCCTTCAGCAAAAATAGCGAAAATTTATTCCAAGCGAAAATAAAGTATTCTACAGTATTCTGTTTGGAGGTTATGCAATAAATCAATGCTTATGCCCAAAAAAAAAAGGAACATTGAAAAATAATGATGTGACACAGTTTTATTTTTTTATTTATTATTTTAATTTTGTATTCGGTTTATTTAATACCACAAGAACAAGATAAATTTTCAATGTTTCAGATTTATTAATAAATACATGCATTAATTAGGTATATTTGGATTGACAAAATATTCTCTGAAACATAAAACAAATATTTCTTCATTCTACCATACATGGCACATTTTACCAGTACACAAAATAACAAAAACAATGTGTGGGGCACAGTTTTCAGAATGACATGCATGCTGACGAAAAACAAAACCTATTTTGGGCCTAATGAATACCACTGCACACAGTGGCGAATCCAGCAAAATGTATTGGGGGGTCCAAGCTTCGCTTAAGATATACGGAGCGTAAATCGCAAAGAAGCTATGCGTAATCCAGATGATATGAATCGTCATGCGTTTGGGGGGGGCATGCCCCCCTGGATCCACCACTGACTGCACATTGTTTCAAAATAATAACATCAATTGATATTTGTGATTTATTAAAAACTACAAGAACCTACCTTGTAATATTTCCCATATACTTTGGCCACCACAGCAACAAGAGGAATCATTATAAGTGTAACTATAGTCAGTTGCCATGACAACTTGAACATGAGGACAAGATAACCGATACTTTTAACGGAATTACGTAGAAAGACGTTGAGATTTAATGCAATTGAATCACTCATGACTGTGGTGTCGGAGGTCAGACGGGATGTAATGTCACCTGCCAATTCAATCAGTATAAAGCATTGGTAAATAACAAGAATCTAACAAATAATTTAATTTAAACATTTTTCCCTCATCACAATATATATATGAAACGTAACATTTTAAGTAAAAGGTTTGGACTACTTTATTTGATGCATCCAAATACCATGGTGTAATCTTTTCACCACAAGACTTTCTTGCCCAAATTTTTCTGCACTTTTTTCTTATATTCTTCAATATTTCTGGAAATGAACCCTAATTTTTGAGCCAGCAGACAAAATTTGAGTAAATTTTCAGCTTTTACTCAAAAAATTTGGCTATTTTTGTCTCAATCTTCTTATGGAAACTACAGACGATAAACAAGACTATTTTGCGAATTTGTGATGAAAATAGGGAACTGTCGGTGAAAAGGTAAATCTTTAATCTTTACGGTGCCAATAAAGCAAATATTCTATTCTACGGTATATGCCATCTGACCCAAAATGGTGGAATAAACAATACAAAGTTTCACAGTAGATCTTGATACTAAAACTACATGTATCTTTAAAGTTTGATAAAAGTCAATTTCTATGTTTCATGTGTCAACTTATCACAATATTAAATATACAATGTTCTGTAAACAAGTTAGCACTAACAAATCACAGAAAGACTGGTGTAATTAAAATCTCACTACATCAGGATGTGTAGATTTTATACAGTATGTTGTACACCAACCCTGACTCAATATATTTTATTTGAAAGTTTGCTAGGGATTGGGGGAATATTAGCAGGATTTTCTAATTGTGTTTTTGTAAATTACTGTTCTTTAAATCCATTGAAGTTCCATTAGACGAGAAAAACTTTAACAAGATCACTGAGGTGATAATTTGATGTTTTGTGTAGCGGTACTTACTTTATAACCATTGGATAGGAAGATAACGACTCTGATCTTGGGCATTAGTTGATCATGACCCCAAATGCGGGAAATTTTATGATACATTAAGAACAATGTTTTTACCTGTTTTTGTGCAATCAAAGAAACCAATGTCTTGGCTTGCAATTGACGAATATAAACAGTTGCGAATCCTAATGTTCAGCCTCGCCATGACAATCATAAACAGAGTGCCTCTGAGACCAGATGTCAAAGCACTAAAATATAAGACAATAAGGAACAGAACATTTTTAAAAACTGTGCTTGCATCAGATTTTTAATTCAGCTAGGCTATCCTTCAATCAGAAAAAAACTCATTAAATGAAAAAACAATCTTCTGAAAATGCTAATTCTCAAAACAAAAAATACTTTACATCATTTCCTTTTGGCAAGAGAAACAAATTTAGATTTTGATGAAGTCAGGGTAAGATGCAAAATTTGGAAGCAGTGAAAATGTCATTGAGTCACAATGTTTATCATGAAGTTTAATTCCCATGAATGCTGGCACTGATATCAACAATAGCTAGGAGATTTTTGAACACATGTATTGTGAATTATTTTCTATCTCAGTAAATGTAAAGCTGCTCCATGAGTAACAATGTCAGTCTAATAACATATGAAACTAGCAAAATTATTCATGTCATGTAGATATGGTTGTTAATATTATGAATAATTAATTTTATTAGCAACATAGTCATACTGATCAACTCTAGGATTGAAGAATTTGAATATCCTGCAATAAAGACATCAATTTAAAATAATTGAATTCAAATTATAGACTGGGATTTTTGTTTCAGGGATTCTAGTTTGATGGGATATCCAAGACAGCTATAATTGTATATTTTATACTGTGTTACTTTGCATAACAATAAATATACCAGGTATATGGCATAATATAAAAATCAGTAATGTTCTGTAATTGTACAAATATGAGAGGACTTATAAACTAATCAATTTATTTATTATTTGTTTCACCTTTTGAGTGCCAAAGACAACTTTTGTCACAATTCGCTATAAGATAAGATAATTTTTTATTACAACCTTATAGAATGAATTACATATCTATTTTGGTTTATAAAATGTAATAAAAGTGTTAAAATACACATATCAAGTTCGATATCTAAAATCTACTACAATACAGTTACATGTAATAATGTAAAAAATATTAATATGGTATTTGCTGTTTTTATAAATTTGATAAGCTCTGTTAGTAAATATTTGTTGTTTGTATTCAATATATGAATGAATATATGAAATATGTCACAGTTTTCATCGATTTTAATAAAGACT